GATTACAACCTAGGAAACCTTTAGGGATAGTTCTACTCTGTCTTATAAGATTGCAAAAGTAAGAATTAACTGAATAGTGTCAGGTTTGGTTTCAGTATGTGTCAAGTTTTGCTGTGTGAAACATCACTTTAGGAAATAAATACTATATAATTTTAGTGTAGTGGTTACTGCTGAATGATCCCAGTAGTACAATGGTTAAAATGCTTTTCTGCTAACTTCAGAGTTGGCAGTTTGAACCTCACCAGTCACTCCTGGGAGAAAGATGATGCCAGCTACTTCCATGATGATTGCAGCTTTGGAAACCCTGTTGTTAGCTCTGCATAGATCTGTAGGATTGCAAATCAGCTCAGTGGCAGTGGACTTGGTTTGGTTTTTACTTCTGAGAGGTAAGAAGAGACGAGAAAATTTTATCAGTTGAATCTCTACTATTTTATCCCTGGCAAAAAATCTGAAAACAAAATATTAGACTTTAGTAGATCTAAGTTGTGAGACCAGGAGCCTTGGGGTCATAGCATTATATACAGAGCCTTAGACACTTGGTGGAGGGTCATCATGAGTTAGAACTTACTCAGTAACAGTTGGTTTGATTTTGGCTTCTTTATGCTGTTGTTGTTGTTGTTGTTAGGTGCTGTTGAGTTGAGTATGACTAACAACAACTCTATGAACAACACATGTGAACCTTGTGTTATCCTGTGCCATCCCCACAATCTCTGGCACACTTGAGCCCATTGCTGCAGTCGCTGTGTCAGTCTATCTGGTTGAGGATCTGGTCTTTTTTCACTGCCCCTCCACCCTCTTTTATGTAGTGGGTGAAATTTATGATTGGTGCAACTAATGACACACTTGGCTACTGACTGAAAAATTGGAAGTTCAAGTTCACCTAGAGACAACATCTTTCATTGTTTTTGTTCAAACATTCCTCTAGGCTGTGTAGCCCTGGTGTGTTCACTTGCCATACAGCAGTAACTTGGTTGCTGTGACTGCTGAACACTGTGACACTGATGTGTCAAATGCGTTAATGGTTGGTTACCCAATGCAGAGAGAGAGTGGGGTGGAGCTCCTCAATTAAAACAAGCTTGGAAGGAGGAGTGGCATCCACTTCCATAATAGCTTGCCTCGGAAACCCTGTGAACCAGGAGAGAGGATGAAAGACACCCAAGCATTGAGGACTGTCCTTCATAGGTTGCTATGAGTCGCCTGCGACTCGACGGCAGTTAACAACAACAACAAAAGAGAAAACATTAAAACAAAAAATTATAGTGATTTATTAAATAATAATAAAAACAAAGGCAAAGTGAAGAAAAACAAAACAACCCACACCTGGAAAACTCTTTGAGAAGCACAGTTCTCCTGTGACATGCGTGGGGTTACTAGCTTTACATCAGCTAGTTAAATAGTACATGAGTATTGTTCTTTGAATATTACAGAAACATTTAATCTTTAATCTCTAATTTCTGTCAAGTCAGACCTGAGCCACAGCTGAACACAGGTTTTATGAGGTTTTAAATAGCACAAGAGGAGATTCCCATCTTTGTCCAGTGGAGCAATGGTGGATTTTAACCACCAGAGAGGTAACACATTTGAGTTAATAGCACAACTCCGTAAGAACCATGTCACTAGTCCGTTCAGTTATTTGATAACATTTTAAAAATGCTGTCTTTCGGTAATATAAATATTTTAATTGATACACTGTATATGCTAATGAATCAAATACAAACAGAATAAAATTTTAGTTCATACATCTGGAGACTATTTTCATGAATTTAAATAGGTTTTGTTTTGAGTGTGATTTTGATGAAACTTTACAGAAAGTTGGATTTTCATTCATTCATTGTTGTACATTTTTCTCCCTATCCTCCATTTCACTTAAAAAAAAAATCATTCATTGTTGCACAATTTCCTTCCCCCTCCCTGCCAATCCACTTTGCAATGCACCTCTTAATCTATCTGGACTATTGCTATAACAATAATGCCTAATCATATATTCCTTTTAAGCAGTTCTTTCCTTCAGCTGTTCCAATGCAGTGTTCATTATCTGTTCCCTCTTTTCCTAGTTTCCTCCCAAGCCCCCATGTCAGTCCTGTTTTTAACAGTGGTGTTATGCAATATTTGTCCTTTTGTGACTGACATATTTCACTCAGCATAATGAATGAACATGGATAACAGGAAAAGAATTGATGCCTCTGAGCTGTGTTGATGGAGAAGAGCACTGAACATGGAAGGCCAAGAGAACAAACAGCTATGTCTTAGAGAGGGTGCAGCCAGAGTGTTCTTTGGAGGCAAGAAGGATGAGGCTTCGCCTCACATACTTTGGGCATGTTGCTAGGGGGTGCTATTCCTTGAAGAAGGAAATGATGCTGGGAAGAGTAGAGGGTTGGCGAAGGAGAGGAAGACCCTCAACCAGGTGGATTGACACAGTGACTGCTGCAGTGGGCCACGAAGTGTGAGGATGGTCCAAGATAGAACAGAGTTGAGATCTTTTGTTAATAGAGTCTCAAGGAGTTATATTTGACTCCACGGCACCTAACAATAATAGCAACAATATCCTCCAAGGTCACCTATGTTGTTTACTGTCTTAAGAGTTCCTTGGTTTTTAGTGCTGTGTAGTATTCCATTGT